CACAATAAGTAAAAATATTAAGAGTTTACTAGTTTAGATGCATTTATTTATTTTGATAATAAATAGCAAATTAAATAGAAATCCTATTGCTATTGAATGAAATGCTATCCCATTACTATACACTTTTCACGAAAACCAACTCTGTATCAAAATTAGTCCAGTCTAAAATATACCTTTTTCCATTTATATGATAATTAAAAAAAAAAAATTTTAAATTAAAACTCATTCGTTTACACTCAAATATCTAGGTAAGTTTATTTTAGATTGAAAGTGGAACGAAAAACTATACGATCTAAATTAACTAAACGATCTAAAACTAAATGACCCATTTATAACATGAGACTAATAAACGGTAATTCAAAAAGCGTTAAATTCCATTTATGGACGAAAAAAACATGAATTATTATTAATTGAGTCCTACGTACTAGTTGTAAGTAACAAGTTGTTCATAAAACGAAAACAATTAGTCACTAATTTTTCTTTTAAAAAAATTTTTCATCGAAAGAAAATACGGAATCAATGTTTAACTAATGTATCGATACCTTGAGCTCCAATCCTAAGCAAATATTCTGCTTCCTTATTATACTAAGTTCAGTCATATTATTTATAAACTTGTTTACACAATACTATGACTCAATTTAAACAGAAATAAGGCGCTAAATTCAATGATACTATTTATTAACTTGATTGCAAGATACTATATGACTCAGTTTAAAAAGAAATATGGTGCAATTTGAGGCATAAGATTCACTAATGTAAACGATATTAAGGTTCAACCAAAGTTCATAACAACGTACAAAAATTCAGCCCATGTATAGATGTATATGAAATATAGTTTCAAAAGGGATTATCTTAGCGAAAATAAATATACATATTAGTGAAGAAAGAAGAAGAAAAATTATTAAAATAAAATATTTCTTTTAAATATTTAAAAAGAATTTTTAAAAATATTTAAAAAAATATTTTATATTAATTTTTTTTAATTCATAATCTTTATGTTTTCTCTTAATCTATATGTTTTCTCTCTTCTTAATCTTTATGTTTTCTCTATTTCATTAATCTTTATGTTTTCTCTATATTTTGTAACTTATTTTATGAGTTCTATATATTGCAGTTTATGCACAGTAAATAAAACTTATTAATTTTCGTCTTTTTTCTTTCTTCTTTTATCCTTTTTGCCTTTATTGTGCTATACATATATACAGTCAAACCGCGGTATAACAAACCCCTATTTACCGAATTTCGAGATTTAACGAATTTTATGAAGTTAATTAAGTAAATTTATAAGAAACAATGAATAGCGATTTTGACGCAGAAGTCGATGTCAATATGAATCTCCAGTGAAAACTGTTACTTTTTCTGATGCCTCGCACGGTCTGGAAACAGTGAAAACTTACATAATGCAGCAAAGATGTAAATGAAGGAGTATTTTCTTCTCTCCATGACGTTGTAAAAGAACTTTTTAAATAATTAAATCTTACTCACGAAATGCTCTAAAATTTCAAATTAATCAGCGCGTAATCACTCGCTGCATTTTAAGTTCCTGAATAAAAAGTATAAGAATTCTACTTTTTTGTGTATTTGCTCATTGGAAATGTTCGGATATTTCATAAGGTTTATAAATTTTTTATTTTTATTTTGTCCTCGATATAACGAATTATCCTCGATTTAGCGAATATTTTCGGTCCCTATGAACTCGTTAAATCGGGGTTTGGCTGTATATATATAT